TTCTATCAAGGGGTTTCGTTGGTCAGGTCGGTTTCGTGAAAATTTTGAGAATCGTCATCATTTACATATTGATAGTTGTCAAAATATTCATCTGAATTATAAAAATTTTCATTATCTTCTTCCTCAGGTATTACCTCTGTATTAAATAACTCTTCATGATAGAAATTTGGATTTTGGCCTGTGCTTTTAAAATGATTATAATTTTGTCGGAAGTGTGGTGCTGTATTTCGTGTAGAAATACTCATAGGAGTAGGTTTAGTCTGATTATTGTTTGGATTGGGCTTCCAAACATTTTTTGGTTTACCGAAAACTTGAGAATTTGTAAAATATTTGGTTTGGGGTGGATTTGGGTGTCTTGGAAGTTGTACAGGACCTCTGGGAAATTGAGATCGGTAGTCAACTGTCTGAGTTATATCTGGTTGAAAGTTAGATGTAGAAGGTTGGCTCATTCTTGGCTGAGAATATTGTATATTTGACTGTCGAGTTGATTGAAAATGATTGACATTTGGATTAGTTGGTTTTCGAATAAAATTATTATTATTATTAGAATTATTATGATTAAAAGTTTGATTTTTCTGATAATACTTAATATTATCCTCCTCTCTAATAAACTGAATCGCTTGCTCTAACGAAACAGGTCGCATTGCACGAATAATGGGCCCTAAAGGCTCCCTAAGACCAGCTAAAAATGATTTTAAAGCCTGCTTCGTAAAGAAAGCTCTTTTAGATTCACGTTCCTGATTAATATAGTGTAAATCAATATAATTACAACTAGCATTTAATAAAGTTAAAAGTCTTTCATGAAAAGAATATGGAGATTCATTAGGTTTCTGTTTCATATTTACTAAATCTTGATTCAAGCAATTTTCATCACGATGATCACCAAAATTCTGAATCAAAGTATTTTTTATATCTGGCCAAGTTTTAGCGCCGCTTATGGCTACTATTTCTTCTGCTTTGCCTTCTAATTTATTAAGAATACCATTTAACAATAAAACATTTTGAAAACTGGCTAGATTATTCCTATCAAAATAATGATTTAAAATGGATTCAGTTGCATTTACAAATCTGTGAAGTTTATTAATATTTCCATCAAAATTTGGAATAATTGAGAAAGTTTTCATATCTAGAACAGGTGTTGCCATTTTATCTTTTAATTCTAATTTACAAAAATTATTAATTAAGCCTAACTCTTCGTTAGTATCGATTTCGCTAAAGGATTCGTTTTCAGAAGAGGAGTCTGACATAAACAAAAATTACTTACCACATCCGTACTGCACACTGTCTTCCTCGATGGAGTTCACTGGCAAAACTGGGATATTGGTTCTCGATTTTCGCGAAGGGTTGAAACCCAAAGAACTTTCCGCGATGGATTTTCCCGAAAATCTGTACTAACTGCGCCACTTATAGTTTTCCTTTAGGCAAAACTATTTTTAAAAAATAATTACTTTATTAATTGGTTACAAAAATACGTAAAAAGATCGGACAATTTTTATATAAAATTATAATGTGCTTTCTTTGAAGTTTAAATACAGACTGAAGTATATTTAATTAAAAACGCCATGGTAAAAATGATATCTAAGTAAATATAAAAATGTAAACTAATCAGATTGCAAAGTTCATTAAAACAGAAATCCTAGATCATCATTCTTAGGCGAATGACTGGAACAGGGCCGGCTTCCATAACTCCCGTTACTTTTAACAAAACATGATGCCATAATGATTTGTGGATGAAAAAAATATATATATTCTTAAATTTACTATTTCGTTGTTGGTAATATTATATTCAACAGCGATGCCAAATTTCTGATGCTAAAATGATTGATAATGAAAGTGGGATATCCATTTTTATGTATATAATAACATCGAGTAAACGGTAAAACCCTGAACTAAATATATATAATATTTTCACCGTACCATCATTTTAGACTCAAACATTTTCTGGAGTAAACTTATATAACACAGTAAGGGATAAAAAGAGAAAGCCGATATTTTAAAATACCAACACGGTAAAATTTAATTCAAAATTCAAATCTCTAATCAGTGAGATGGTTAAAATTCTTGTAACAAGTACAGGAAAAAAGTTATTAAGGTGTTGTAAAGTAGCGTCGATATACAGATGCTACTTTGCAAGACGATGCTAAATTGATGGTAAAAGCATAATGTATCGATGCCAAAATGATAGTAGGATGTATATATATATATATATATATATATATATATATATATATATATATATTTGAGGATGCAGTCAGTTTATTTGGCACACAAGACAAAGAAAACTGTTTGACTTACTGTCAAGCTTTCGAATTTTATTTAATTCTTTTTCAAGACATCTATATAAAAAGAAATATAAATTAACTAGTTAAAATTTTTAATTGTCTTACTTACTAGTCGTGAGATTACAGTTTTTAATATTGTACTCTACAAAACAAACCATAATAAATATATTAAAATTTTTTTATTAAAAATAACTATATTGTCACTATATATGTCACTGTCATGGTTTGATTAATGGACATATATGAATGAAAATACAGTTATTTTATGTGGAAAGCAAAACCCGTAACAATAGTTTTTATTATAATTTATTTAATTGTCTATAAAAAATATAAATTAATCCAGTCAGCAGTTTGGCTTAAGCACATATGAATTTTTAATGTTATGATGTCAATAGAAAATGAGATTTTGACGGTATTTATTGATATGTTAATATATGTACAGGCTTCAATTCTAGAGAGGCAGAAACATGAACAGAAACGGTTATTTTTAGAAATGACACATATACAAAAAAATAAAAAATGTGTAAATAGAAGATAAGATATTGACAAATTAAGTAACATTTATTGTTACATATTAACATATCAATAAATACCGTCAAAATCTCATTTTCTATTGACATCCTAACATTAAAAATTCATATGTGCTTAAGCCAAACTGCTGACTGGATTAATTTATATTTTTTATAGACAATTAAATAAATTATAATAAAAACTATTGTTACGGGTTTTGCTTTCCACATAAAATAACTGTATTTTCATTCATATATGTCCATTAATCAAACCATGACAGTGACATATATAGTGACAATATAGTTATTTTTAATAAAAAAAATTTAATATATTTATTATGGTTTGTTTTGTAGAGTACAATATTAAAAACTGTAATCTCACGACTAGTAAGTAAGACAATTAACAATTTTAACTAGTTAATTTATATTTCTTTTTATAGATGTCTTGAAAAAGAATTAAATAAAATTCGAAAGCTTGATAGTAAGTCAAAGAGTTTTCTTTGTCTTGTGGGCCAAATAAACTGACTGCATCCTCAAAAATCATAACTTATATTTAAATCAACAGTCAAGAATATCACCATCTTATCTATATATATATATATATATATATATATATATATATATATATATATATATATATATATATATGAGCAATTCCAATACTTTTCACCCACTTTTGTGGGAGGGGTCTTTGGATTTGCTCCAAATTATAGTATGTTATTATACCTTATGAAATAAGACTACAGTTCAAATTTCAGCCCTTTAGGTACACTAGGGCGCGAGAAATCCCTTCTCAAAGGACCAAAAAAGGCCCTTTTTAGCCTATATTCAAAAAGCTATATCTCGATGTTCTATAAACCGATTTTAATTTAGAATATCTCATTTTTTTTGTCATAACATCAGCTATTTATAAAAAAATTTTAAAAATCCTTGATCCCAAGATCCATTGTCAGGGACTAAATTAGTGCGGACGAGATTGAAAGATTTTGGTTATTTTTAAAAAATCATAAATAGTGAATGGGTAATTAGAAATACTTTTGATAAGTCTTATTTGAAAGGTTTTTTTATTACCTTTAAAATGAGATTTAGTAAATTAAAATCTATCAAGTAGATTCAGAGTTAGAGCTGTTAGAAATTTATCATTTTCGTGAAAATCGCATTTTTTCGAATTTTCAAGCTAGCAGCAAAAAAATCTTTGAACTTTTAGAGTAACGAAACTTGGTGTGACGATAGTTCTTTATATGTACAACAACGCGTAACTCTTTATTTTTTGTGTTTTGGCCATTATTGACCTTATCTAACTGCTTCAAAAATTGGAAAAATCGAGTATTATTCATCTAAAGTAAGCCAAAGTACTCGGCAGTTTTGGCATTCTTGAATCAATTTCATAATACTAACTCCTTTTTCTCAATATAGATAATAAAAGTACTTACCAAGAGCTTTAATGTAAGTGATGGAATTCTCTGGGTTCTCGAAAACCAAAGTTTGAATTGTTGAAACCTTTTTTTTTGTTGAAATGTTTTTTATAATTCAGAGTTTGAAATATGTGAAAAGTCGTTTCTGCCTATTAGTAAGCTTATGTAAAATTTTGAACAACTTTGATTTTGTAGCATAATACTATGACTTCCAAGATAAAACCACTTCGCAATCGAATTTTGTACGTCGATGCGCATGACGTCAATTGGTGATAAAGTTTGTCTTTAATTTAATATTCTAAAATATATTTTATCAAAAATGCACACATTTATTTGTCAACGTACTAGATAAACGATAAAACAATACTAACTCTGACAAAATTCCATGCAAAACAGAACATTTCTGGTGATATTTGTCGCCAAGTGACGTCACACGTGCAAAAGAGATCGATTAATCACGTGCGCGTGGGTTTATATTTAGTTCATAGTATCATGATTTTGTAGCATACAGAAAACTTCTTTATTATCGAATGAAAGGATCACATATTTAATTTTAAAAGATTTTATTAACTATTACTATAATATTATGTTCTTAAAAAATAATACAAGAATTTAGTTAAATTAAATTAAATTTACTTAAAAAATAATACGAGAAGTATTTTGATTTTCTGTGAAACTTTGAATTTACATATTTAACCAGAATACTTCATTGGTAAAAATTCGTTAATTACTTTTTATCTTTATTTTATGTTTATTTTTATTTCATATAAAAAGTTTATATTTAATGATTAGAACTATTCTAAATCTATATCAATAATTTTTTGTTCTTCAGAAAAAGAGGTAAACTTCATTATCATTTGTTTTCCTTCTACTGGAATGTAAGAATGATGCTTTCTAGTATTTGGAAATGTTTTAATAGCATTGAAACGCTTGCGCAAATGGCACTCATATTTTTGTACCTCATTATTTGGTACCCATAAAACTCTGTAATAAATTATAAAATTACCATACAATTATAAACATTTATTTTATCATGATATTTAAAAAATAATTTTATATAATTACTTTATATTTGTAACATCATTATTGTTTACATATTCATACATCTCACTTGCATTTGTGATTTGTGCTTCTGGATGTGACCTTATACAATGCCGCATAATCAGTCTTTTTATAGTACCGCCAGTAGCATCACATGGAGATTTCCCATGACTGATTGCAAAAAAATTGTATGATGTTACGTTTATTCCAAAGTCTTTTTCGTGACATATTATGTTCGCCAAATGATTCCTAGGTGGAAAATAACAATTTCAAATTAAAGAATCATGATAACATTTTATTATTATAAAGTTAAATATTTATAAATAATTGAAATTTTCTTACTTATTTTTATATTGCTGAGGTGCTCCATCTGAAAAATAGATGACATTTTTGATCCAGCTATATTTCTCTTTAATTTCGGCCATTAATTTTGCAGTAAACGCATTTATTGTGTAAGCCAAATGATCCTTAGTGTCACTAATCATGCAATAATTTACGTTTAAAAGTTGATCACTTTCCTTGTTTTTAAAATAAATGCAAAAAGGGTGTACCGTTGCTTGTGAATTATTGTAATAAAATGCTTGAACAGATTGCTGAATAATAAAAGAATAATTTTCCGAAAAGTCCATTAAAATGATACACGTGTATGAATCTAATTTATTTTTGCAATCACTCAGATATCTTTTTTGGCTGTCTGCTACGAAATGATGAAAAGTTAAATCATCTATATCTTTACAAAGTTGTGTTTTGAAATATTCTGCATTTTCTTCAAAACTTTGAAGTAAAGCTGAACTGCCTTCCTCTATCCAATTTTTATACTTTATTGGTTCCGTTGATAGTTTAATGTCAAGTTCTTTTAGAATCTTTTCAAAAGTTTGTTGCACACCTAATTGTCTTGGACACTTTTTACATTGATTAGTCATACACTTTTCCTCGTCAACAATGCAAACAGCACCAGCTAACAAATCTCTATAATTGAGTTTTTTTGAAATTGCATTTAATTTAAGCTTTACATTTTGATGCTGAGCACACACACAAATAGTGTGACTACCAGGGTCTCCTGCATGTATGCATTCAACAGGTTTCAAAGCTGCAAAAAATGAAAACGATGGGACCTTTTCACTACCACTGTATTCTTGTTTGAATTTTAAGTACAAATCATGTACCGTATATAACAATAATTTTTTTTGTATCAAAATGTTTCTTCCTTGATCATCGTGGCTTATTACATAATCTCTTTTACCAGGGAAAGTGTACACATTTTCATTACTTACATAATAATCTTTTATCTGATTTTGTAATTCCTCGGAAATTATCGTATATTTTTTTCTTAAGTAAGTTTTGATATTTTCTGGAAAGCCTGTAATATGCATTTATTATGTTATATCTGGAATCTATAATATATAATTATTATGTCAAAATATCTCAAATAAAATATTCGTAAGATATTTATTGACTCTAACGTTTGCAGATTACAGAAATGTAGTTATTAACTTATTTTACTTTACATTAGTTTATTAATGACGTTTCGGATCTCTCAATAAACCCTCATCAGGTTCAGAAACATTAAAAATTTCATTTAAAACTTATACACTATTATATAAATTTTTACTATATTATTGGAAAGTCACAAAATACTTTATATATAATATCACTATATTATTATGTGTGTGAAATTAATAGGCAATATTTTGATACTATAAGAAGCTTTAAAAAGATTGTTAAGAAAGAATTACTAGTGTATAATTACAATAATTAGTGTAAGAATGATAAAAATGAATATGTAAGTAAAAATAAATGTTAATTTAACGACCAAAAAATAAAATAAGAAACTTTTCAAATTAAACTTACTACAAAAAGAATAAAACTGCAAATTCAAATACATTTCAATTACAATTTACAATAACATAAATACAAATAAACAATACTCAAATTGCTTATTAATTTCAAAAAATTAGTAAAAATATATAAAATTACATGTAATTACAGTAATGATAAGAGTAATAATATAAGTGATTATATCTAGGTATTGTGATTTTTCAATAATATCGTGAAAATCTGTGTAATAGTGTATAACTTTTAGATATAATTTTCAATATTTTTAATCTTGAGAGATCTAGTGGGACTTTCGTCTTGCAAAGAAGTTATAACACTAAGAAAAATTATGGAACAATCGCTAGATATGAGGTTATGGCTTTATCCCATATGCAAACTTAGCAATAACTCCTCTTCCATATGCGATGAATGCTCACGAGTGATTGCAAGAATTCTTTGGAACCATCTCCTAATCAGCTGTTACGGATTGATTGCTTCAAGTACGCAAGTGACGATTCCATAATTTTGTTCTCAGTGTAAAGTCTGCAAAACTACATTTAATAATTATTTTTTTGTATTTTTTAATTATTTATTTTCATAATTTAAGACAATAGGTTTCTATTTTTTCAGAATTACTTCACTATAAAATAAACATTTTCAATATAATTAGATTCTATGTTAAAAAAGTAATAGAAATAAAAAACATGTAAAATATTGTATTCGCAAAATGTTGGTTGAATACATTGGTTTATTTATACACAATGTTTTTGGAGTCGTACTAAAAATTTCTGGCAGAATTTTTTTAAATCGATTAATTACTAAAGTAAAATATATTTTTAATATACGTTTAAAGTCGACTTTTCTACTCTTGGTGTTTTTAAAAGTCAATTACTTACTTTTTTACGTAGAGAACGATTTTTTTACACAATTTGAAGAACATTTTTATAAAGAATGTAATCTTTTTCATGTTCTTTATAATATATACAGTTAACTTCCAATGATTTAAAGAAAAAATAGAAAAAATTGAGATATAAAATTTAAATATTTGAAAAAAAAAGATTTAAAAATCGTTACAAAAATAATTTATTAATAAAATCTATATGTGATGTACTTCGAACTATAACAATGCCTCAATTTGACTCAAATAAAAAATACGAATAATTTCGTTTTTGAGTTTTTTAAAAAAATTACCAAAATAGCTATTTGAGGTTATGTTATGTTGCTTTTAATTTAAAAAAAAATCACTATAAAATATAGTAGACCAAAAAAGTTTATGTTTTGTATTAGTTTTGAAAATGTTTACTTTGATAGGAAAAAAATCTAAAAATATTATATAATAATAGACAGAATATAAAACTTACCATCCATTTTTCTAAATTTGCTAAGCTTTTGGTACATATAATCAGTACAATTGAAGTACTGTCGAATTTTACGTCTATTCCAATTTATTGGGAGCAATGCTAGGTATTCAAGTCTTTCACGAAGAGTTGTAGATGATTCAAATTTATGTTGTAGGTTTTTAAATATTTCTTTGAGAACAGAAGAATCTTCTAAAATATTACGAGTTACAGGTTCAGGAACTGAAATATTAACATTGCCAGCTTTAGCCACTATTTTAGCAAAATTTGTGCAAACTCCTTGAATGAGAAATTCAGCATCATAAATTCTTTTAGTTTTACTAAACTGTTGATTATCGAAACTTAGCATATGGAGACTACTCAATACAGAATTTATGTCTCGATGTTCTTGGCTCAATAGAGTAAACTCAGAAACGACACTAACATTACTTTGAACTGATTTTTGACTATCAGATAATTCATCATCGCAGTAAGAAACATCTTTATGTGTAGGTATTCTTTCTGAACGTCTTGGTTCGGGATTACTGATACTTTCAACTGAATCTATTTGATCTGAAATATGTGAATCTACTTGCATAGATACTGTTTTAGCATTCAAAATTTTCATGCAATTTATACAAATTTTATCTCCAGGTTTCAATTTTAATAATAAACTTTCCATAGCTTTTTTACAAGTTTCTAGTTGGAGTATTCTTAGATTTGTGGTAGGTAATATTTTTTGGATGAATTGTAAAAGGATCACAACATTTATACTTGAAGGTTGTAAAATATGTCAAATATATACATTTATGGTGGTCGCAGATAGTTCCTTCTGAAATTGTATAATAGTTATCGATTCTGTATTTAAGAAGAACAATTTCTTCTGCAGAAAGTTTTTCAAGCTTATATAAGTGCTTTTCTTATATAAGTTCTCAGTGTAAAGTCTGCAAAACTACATTTAATAATTATTTTTTTGTATTTTTTAATTATTTATTTTCATAATTTAAGACAATAGGTTTCTATTTTTTCAGAATTACTTCACTATAAAATAAACATTTTCAATATAATTAGATTCTATGTTAAAAAAGTAATAGAAATAAAAAACATGTAAAATATTGTATTCGCAAAATGTTTGTTGAATACAATGGTTTATTTATACACAATGTTTTTGGAGTCGTACTAAAAATTTCTGGCAGAATTTTTTTAAATCGATTAATTACATAAAGTAAAATATATTTTTAATATACGTTTAAAGTCGACTTTTCTACTCTTGGTGTTTTTAAAAGTCAATTACTTACTTTTTTACGTAGAGAACGATTTTTTTACACAATTTGAAGAACATTTTTATAAAGAATGTAATCTTTTTCATGTTCTTTATAATATATACAGTTAACTTCCAATGATTTATAGAAAAAATTGAGATATAAAATTTAAATATTTGAAAAAAAAAAGATTTAAAAATCGTTACAAAAATAATTTATTAATAAAATCTATATGTGATGTTCTTCGAACTATAACAATGCCTCAATTTGACTCAAATAAAAAATACGAATAATTTCGTTTTTGAGTTTTTTAAAAAAATTACCAAAATAGCTATTTGAGGTTATGTTATGTTGCTTTTAATTTAAAAAAAAATTCACTATAAAATATAGTAGACCAAAAAAGTTTATGTTTTGTATTAGTTTTGAAAATGTTTACTTTGATAGGAAAAAAATCTAAAAATATTATATAATAATAGACAGAATATAAAACTTACCATCCATTTTTCTAAATTTGCTAAGCTTTTGGTACATATAATCAGTACAATTGAAGTACTGTCGAATTTTACGTCTATTCCAATTTATTGGGAGCAATGCTAGGTATTCAAGTCTTTCACGAAGAGTTGTAGATGATTCAAATTTATGTTGTAGGTTTTTAAATATTTCTTTGAGAACAGAAGAATCTTCTAAAATATTACGAGTTACAGGTTCAGGAACTGAAATATTAACATTGCCAGCTTTAGCCACTATTTTAGCAAAATTTGTGCAAACTCCTTGAATGAGAAATTCAGCATCATAAATTCTTTTAGTTTTACTAAACTGTTGATTATCGAAACTTAGCATATGGAGACTACTCAATACAGAATTTATGTCTCGATGTTCTTGGCTCAATAGAGTAAACTCAGAAACGACACTAACATTACTTTGAACTGATTTTTGACTATCAGATAATTCATCATCGCAGTAAGAAACATCTTTATGTGTAGGTATTCTTTCTGAACGTCTTGGTTCGGGATTACTGATACTTTCAACTGAATCTATTTGATCTGAAATATGTGAATCTACTTGCATAGATACTGTTTTAGCATTCAAAATTTTCATGCAATTTATACAAATTTTATCTCCAGGTTTCAATTTTAATAATAAACTTTCCATAGCTTTTTTACAAGTTTCTAGTTGGAGTATTCTTAGATTTGTGGTAATATTTTTTGGATGAATTGTAAAAGGATCACAACATTTATACTTGAAGGTTGTAAAATATGTCAAATATATACATTTATGGTGGTCGCAGATAGTTCCTTCTGAAATTGTATAATAGTTATCGATTCTGTATTTAAGAAGAACAATTTCTTCTGCAGAAAGTTTTTCAAGCTTATATAAGTGCTTTTCTTTTGTGTAAGAATTCAAATGACACTCAGATTTGGTTAAATTTCCAACATCACACTTTATTATTCCCTCGGCCATATTAAGCAATTGGATTTCTGAAATTTAATGGTATAATCATTTTTCAATTGAAAAGAATTTCCTTATTACAGCGTAGAAGCAGTATTTTGTGGGCTTACTCAAATCACATTATTTGTACTAATAATGTCATTAAAAAGAAGTATTATAAGTAATTAAGCAAGATAAAAATAAATTAACTTTTAAAACAATAAAGATACTTCGAAGATTGGTATTAGGCATACAGTAGCAAACATTTTTTATAAATAAATACAAAGTGTTGTAGTTTACCTAAACTTAATTTAAAATATGACTCCATGCACATTTTTAAACCTTAATACAAATCTTATATTTTTATTATCACTTGAAAGTATTGCTAGTTACATTGTGCAATATGTGGTAATTTTTGTAGAAAAATTTTTGAAGTTTTGAAATAAACTATAAAAATATAACAACTTTTTTAAATCACTAAAATAAATTTTTGATAATAAGCTATTAGACAAGTTTCTGCTTAAGTAAAAAATAATAACAATGAATATTTTCTCAAAAATTTTAATATTTCATTTATTTTAATGTAATTAAAAATTTACGTATATTAAAAATATAAACAATGAAATATTTATTTCATTTGACTTTGCACTAAAAATACAAAATATATGGATTGGTCCATGTCAATTGGGAAAACATTTTTTTGTTATATTGATCTTAAAAAACTGAAGTGTTCAGGAAATGTGACACACATAAATATTCATACCTGATTAGTATTAGAAACATTAAGTATGAGTCATATTAGAAAAAAAAACAAACTGTAAAATGAATTTGAATGTGTTTTATTTGAGGAGTACTCCTTAGAATTAATAATCAGGTATGAAAATTTGTGTGTGTCATATTTCCTGAACACTTTAGTTTTCTAAGATCAATATAACAAAAAAATGTTTTCCCAAGTGACATGGAACGCCCCATATATTTTTGTATTTTTAGTGAAAAGTCAAATTAATAAATATTTCATTGTTTATATTTAATATACTCGTTTCGCTATTCCCAGTCCGAACTGTCTAGTGAATTTGGTAATTATTTTTTTGCGTAGTTACTTTTGACAGACTAAAAGTGGCTGACAAATTACTATACAACCAAACACACGTACTCTTAGCCAATATTAATAGTAAACAAACTAAATAGTAAATAAAATAGAACTTTATGAATTACCGGCAATAAATATTTATTTATCTGCACCATATAATAAATAGTTATGTAAAATTATAACATCTGAAATATATTTTTTAAATATATACTATAAATACCTAAAATTTGATGGGTTTAGTATACACTTCCAATATTTAGAATAATTCTTCTTTTTTTCAAAGAAAGAAGTCTGCAATAGTAGTATATTTGATTTATTAATACTGAGAAGTAGGAATTGTTGTGTTGTAGGTTTCCGACAATGAATCTGTCAAAATATGCCCGAGCTGAGCGAATGGAGTATATATGTAAATATTTAGTATAAGTAAATTTTTAATTACATAAATAAGTGAAATATTAAAATTTTTGAGAGAATATTTATTGTTACTACTTTTTACTTAAGCAGAAATTTTTCTAATAGCTTATTTTCCAAAAATTTATTTTAGTGATTTAAAAAAAGTTATTTTATTTTTAATATAGTTTATTTCAAAACTTCAAATTTTTTTATACAAAAATTACCACATAACGCACAATGTAACTAGCAATATTTTAAGTGATAATAAAAATATAAGATTTTTAAAAATGATAAGCATAAGCATGAAAATATTGAAAACAACATTTACAAAATTGAGGTTGATAACATTTTCTAAAATAAACTTACCAGAACAGAAACACTTTACTTTAAATATCCTAACCTCTGCAAAACAATGATTATAATATAGATTATAATACTCATATAAGTTCTTGTAATTTACACATTAGTAGATAACATAATATCCAATAAATAATATTAAGGTTCAAACACCGTTTGTACAACGTGATATTTAAAGATTGAATCTTAAGATGTGTATGTATATATACATAAAAAATAGATATCAATGTCAATAAGAAAGGATGCTAATAATAGCGATATCAGAATATAAAACCTCGGACGAGAAAAGTGAAGAAGAATATTAAACGATAACTTGTAATGTAACGTTGTAAGTTGTAACAAGTTTATAGTGAGTGACATTAGTGACAAGGAAAAAAAATATACTACACGAGCATGCGCAAGAATTAAGAATGCGCGGGAAGGCAAATTCTTGTTGCAAATGTTGTCTTTGTTACTTGTTTAATATGCAATATATTTTGTACCATATTATATGCTTAATGATGAAACCACAAGGGCCTTTCTTCACAAATTTCGACACAGACTGTAGCAGTTGTTTTCGGTTGTCAATAACAATTATTATGTATCGTTCCAATTATTTACTAGATGATTTTTTAAAGTTAAGTTGGCATTGCACTGCGCCGCATAGCCGCTGCATAATTATTTCATTCCCGTGGCAGTTAGAACCTTATAAATAAGTACTTAAATAATAAACTATATACGATATAAATATTCTTATATTCTAATTAAGTTTAAAAATTTTCTTTTTACTGTCCGATTTGAGACTAAATATTTCTGATAAAAAACTTTGATAAAAAGTTTTCCAATGTGAACTAAAGCTATATATACTAAAGCATAATACATCTACTGTTCCACTCGGCACGTATACATTATCCTAATAGATAGTGATATTTTTTCAATTTAAAAATTTTCGTTGATAATTAAAATCATTCTCTATTAGCGATTCAAACAGTTTTTTAGGCAGTGTCGCATTTTTTTCAGCGATTTTTGTAAAATAATACGGTAAAACTCTCTTGTCAGCTTATTATATTTTATTATATTTATTAGAATTCCAAAAATTATTAGAGAAAAAATATTTGTGCACACATGCGTGCACGAATTCGTACTAGCATTATTCCTTGGCCGCTGGGCGGTACATTTTTTTTTGTGGTTAAAAACTGTTTCAATTGCTAATAGATTTGAAAAGTGACTAAAGAAGTTTTCTATATGCTACAAAATCAAAGTTGTTCAAAATTTGACATAAACTTACTAATAGGCAAAAACGACTTTTCACATATTTAAAACTCTGAATTATAAAAAACATTTCAACAATTCAAACTTTGGTTTTCGAGATCCCAGAGAATTCCATCACTTACATTAAAGCTCTTGGTAAGTACTTTTATTATCTATATTGAGAAAAAGGAGTTAGTATTATGAAATTGATTCAAGAATGCCAAAACTGCCGAGTACTTTGGCTTACTTTAGATGAATAATACTCGATTTTTCCAATTTTTGAAGCAGTTAGATAAGGTCAATAATGGCCAAAACACAAAAAATAAAGAGTTACGCGTTGTTGTACATATAAAGAACTATCGTCACACCAAGTTTCGTTACTCTAAAAGTTCAAAGATTTTTTTGCTGCTAGCTTGAAAATTAGAAAAAATGCGATTTTCACGAAAATGATAAATTTCTAATAGCTCTAACTCTGAATCTACTTGATAGATTTTAATTTACTAAATCTCATTTTAAAGGTAATAAAAAAACCTTTCAAATAAGACTTATCAAAAGTATTTCTAATTACCCATTCACTATTTATGATTTTTTAAAAATAACCAAAATCTTTCAATTTCGTCCGCACTAATTTAGTCCCTGACAATGGATCTTGGGATCAAGGATTTCGAAAATTGTTTTATAAATAGCTGATGTTATAACAAAAAAAATGAGCTATTCTAAATTAAAATCGGTTTATAGAACATCGAGATATAGCTTTTTGAATATAGGCTAAAAAGGGCCTTTTTTGGTCCTTTGAGAAGGGATTTCTCGCGCCCTAGTGTACCTAGAGGGCTGAAATTTGAACTGTAGTCTTATTTAATAAGGAATAATAGCATACTATAATTTGGAGCAAATCCGAAGACCCCTCCCACAAAAGTGGGTGAAAAGTATTGGAATTGCTCATATATATATATATATATATATATATATATATATATATATATATATATATATTGGTTATTAGTTCCGTATATCTGTGGTCAATTCGGCTGTTAATCAAAGAACTTTTCACTGCCCAATGTTCGATACTGTCGAAAGCCTTTTCGAAATCTATGAACGCCATATATAGAGGAATGTGGTATTCATTTGCTCGTTCTATAAGTATTTTCATACTTAGTAAATGGTCACTTGTGCTGAATCCCTTTCTAAAACCAGCTTGTTCTTTCGACTGGTATCCATCGAATTTTGTCGTCAATCTATTGGTTAAAATTTTTGTTAGGAGTTTATACATTACATTGAGGAGTGTTATAGGACGGTAGTTTTTTATATCTGCTTTATCCCCTTTCTTGTGTAGGATAATGGTTACTGATTCCTTCCAGTTGTTTGGGATTCTTTTTTCTTTTAATATCCTGTTAAAAAGGGAATGTAGAGTATTAATTACCACTTTTCCACCATATTTCAGCATCTCTGTAGTTACTCCATCTTTTCCAGGCGATTTGTTGTTTTTCATTTCTTTCAATGCCTTCTTTATTTCTGATTTGCTTATTTCGGGCTGCAGCTCTGAGTTGACATTTTTTATTTTGACCTTAAGTTGGTTTTTAATTTCTTCTGGTGGTTCCTTTTTTGTTTTATATAATTCTGAGTAGAAATGGTGGATTATATTTATGATGTCATCTTTAACGTTTGTTTCTATTCCATTTACATCTTTTATTTTGTTTATTTCAAACTTACCTAATTTCGGCCTTAAGCATTTCATATTTTTGTTGTTTTGTATTACTTCTTCTATTTTTATTTCTTGTTCTTTTCTCTTACTTTCTTTTATCATTCTGCTTATTGTTTTATTAATTTCTACATATTCTATAGATTTCCTTTTGCCTTCTTCGTTCAGCTTCCTTCTTTTATCCATAAGCTTCTTTGTTTCTGTTGATATATAGTTGTTCTTTTTTAGATCCTTCTTTGCTATTTCTTTTCCTGATGTAATCATTGTTGCTGTAAGTATGT